AGCCACCCCTGTCACCAGGCAGGTGTGGGTTAATCATCCTGGGCCTGGCAGGACCCAGGCTTGTCCTTAGATCCTGTGTTTCTCCCCCACTAGCCTGTCCCATTTACCGCTGTAAACCCCGCTGCAGCCCTGTGTGTGGCGACTTAAATTGCTCAAAACACACATACTGGATGAAGAAATGATCAGATGATTAATACAAGTGTTCTGAGCTCTTTCTTTTCTCTGGTGCCTTTGATGCTGTGTCTCTCTTGAAAAAGCGAACCTGTTTCCAGGAGCCCTGGATGGTGTCTGGTGGTCCCAGTGGACAGTGAACGGGGCCAGCGGTCTGTGTGAAGGAGCCAGGAGCACTTGCAGAGGGTGTGGCTGGGCCGGGAAGGTGTCCTTTTGCCTCCAGGACTGTCCAGACTCCTGGTGTGTTTCCAAAGACCCTCCCTGGGAGGGAGACCGTCTCCAGCCTCTGTACTGCCATCTCTCTGCTTTCCTCCCCTTTGTGTCATCACTGTCTGTACTGACTCACGCCCCAGTGATTGGAGTTCGCCACCCGGGAAAGCCAGATGGAAACAATCCTGTCCCCTGTGCCTTGCCCTACCTCTTCAAGACGAGGAAGCCATGTGCCAAGCAGACTCTCCCGGAGGGCAGCTCCCGTCTCTACCTCCATCTTCTCATCCTTGGATGTCACTACCGTGCTGGGAGTAGAAAAGAACAGGGCGAAAGAAACCAAACCAAACCAAAGCAAAACAACCATGGAGCAGGTTAAGGATGTAAAAAAGCTCCCTTGCATGCCTCTGACCCCATAAGGATGGACGCTTGTGTAAATGAATCGTGTCCCTGCCTCTCCGTTATAGAGAAAGTCTGCAAATTCCCAGAGTACTAGACACGCCCACACCCACATGTAAGGATCAAAGCACATGCCAAGAAAACGGTAAAAGCCTTTCTTTGTTTATTTGCAATTTTGGATTCATAGATGCAAAGTTTGTAGGACGGTGTCTGGCACATGGTAAGTCCTATGTAAGTGTTGATTTAAAAAATAGAATAATGAAACCACCCTGTATGAGAAAGCAAAGAACAGAGGGTTTTCCTCTGTATCCTTTTTGAGTCCCTCTGACTAATTAAAGTATTTGTTGACTTCCAGCCCATAGTTTCAATCAACCGAGGGAGACTTTCAAAGACTTTGGTATGCCATTGGCAAAACACCCTTCCAAGGAGGGAAGAACATTCCCCAGACTTGCAGGGACCTGTTGGAGGGAGGCTGAGAATTCTGTTCTGAGGCTCTGGCCCCGTAAGTGCCAACTGCCCGCCCCATCTGAGGGGTGGGGGCCCAGGCTGCTCCCCACAGCCCCCTGCATGTTTGCCCCACCCTTCCTGCCAACCCGAGCCAGCTCAAAATGACAATTCCAGCTGCCACAGCCCCCTCCAGTGAGCTCAGGCCCCTTTCGGGGTCCCAAGAATTCAGGGGCTGGATTCGGACCAAGATGCAGCCCAGAGTGGGGCCATGAGCTTTTGTTCCTATGCTGTGACACGCAGTGTCTGTGAAGGCTTTGCGTGACAAAAGTCGACTTCAAGGGCCCCTTGCCACCAAACAATAACAGCAGGGTGCCGTCTTCAAATCCACTGCAAAGCCAAGGCAGAGTGGTTCCTTTACTGCTGGAGGTTTGCGTTCTCAGACGTGGGGGCTGAGAGTCCTAGAGAGGCAGGGTGGGGTCGCAGGTCCCATGGCAGCTGCAGCCAGACAGAACAGCACGAGGGGTGGGGTGGATCCTGCTCCCCCGTCCACAGAGAGGCCAGTCTCCTCTCTACCCCTGCAGTTCTGTGACTCCAGCTAGATTAGTGCTGGGACCCAGAGTTCCTGCTGGCTTTGGGTGGAGGCAGGAGAATTCTGCCCTCAGTTCCTCCCTGAGGCTAGGGCCTTGTGAGGAGTTGCGAGGGGAGGGCTGGCTCTCGGCTCTGTCCATCCTTCCCCATCCTGCTGGCTCTGGCTGCGCGCTCCCAGATGAGGCTGCCAACCATCACCCAGTGAATAGGTGACTCATGCCTCAACTATCGCTCCCCACTTTTTGTGCTGAGTATGCATGGGGTAGGAGGTCTGCAAAGACCAGGACACTGTAGCTTTCTTTCTTTCCTGGAGGGGAACGTGCCTGCTGGGACACGGCGTGGGGGGAGAGGAATGAAGGGAAGTTCAAGGAATGAAGAGTCATGAACTCTGTTCTCAGAGGTTGCCCAGGCTGAAGGAGACAAGAGATCTGCTCTCTGGACAGAGACCCAGGGACAGAAGCAGGTGGACAGGACCCTAGGACTCAGCATGGGGTTGGGGAGGGCCCCCCACAAAGACCTAGGGAAGGAGCAGAGGGAAATGACCTTTTGTCTGTCAATTCAACTCAAAACTGTTTGCTGAGCACTTCCGGTGCACACGACTGGGCTGAGTGCGGAGATGCCAGGGTGAGTCAGATGCGCTCCCTAACCAGGGGCAGTCGACCATCTGGGGAGACCTAGAGGGTATGTGCAAAACCATCTCCCATTAAATATGTCCGTTCCATCATCTTCTAAGGAAGTTACACAGGTTGTGGTGGGGGGCTCCGAGGAAAGAGCCCTGGTCTGTTATCACGAGATTTGCCTAACCCTTGTCCCCTGGACATCTGGACCAGTTCTACTCCTTGCCTGGTTTGTGAGGTTCAACCCTGTTGATGAAATGCTGCCCATATTCTAGGTCCCCACATCTCACAAAGGAGGCCAAGGCAGCGGCCCCATCCTCCTGTGACATGGAGACCAGCAGGGCCAGGTGTTGCATCTCCCTCCGCCCTGTACTCGTCTTCTGCTGATGAGGAAAATGATGCCTGGAGAAGCTAATTAACATGTCCTGCCAAGCCTTGGTAACTCCCTCTGTGGATGCCTGGCAGAAAAGCTCGGTGAGCTCCATGTAATCTCTCTTTTCCTGCCACAGTGAAATTCCAGGCTGGGGTGGGACTCTCTCACACTGGAGTGGGGCTGGTGCCTGGCTCCCTGGGGGAGCATCTCCACTATATGGGACTGTCCAGGTCTGGCATTGTGGGAGAGGCTGCCCTGCCTGCTTAACGGAGAGTTCCCA